CGCTTGCTAACCATTACACCGCCTCGAGGTGCCCAAGTGATTTTCTAAGCCCGGCTTAGATGTGGCACAAGGCCGAATGTAAGGGACACCCTGTGAGGATCGAACTCAGAGACAAGTTGTCTAACCATTACACCACGCCGAGGTTGTGTATATATATATATATATATATATAAAATTGTTTAAGGAATTCCAATAACAACAATTACTATTAAACATCATCACTTGATAAGACACCGGAGGTGTTGAAACAAATTAGCTATTTTTGTAGTGATTTTATAACATATTTATGTTATTAATTTTTAAATAAATAAATTATATATATATATATATATATATATATATATATATATATATATATATATATATATGCGCGGTACTTATTGGGAAGCGCTAATTTCAGTGATAGAGCTAACATATTTACTTGGATTGATGTGAGTTTGTGACCCTGGGTTTCACGCTATTTGTGATCGTCAGACAAATTATCGATCGCAAATAGCGGGAAACCCAGGGTCCTAGCTCACATCAATCCAACTAATATATATATATATATATATATAAAGGAAATATGTTGTAGTGGTTCCAACGAGAGAAAAATATGTATATTAAAAAAAAGGGGGTGCCGCAAACGTTTTTTGGTTGTAATGTGGATTTATTGAAAAAAAATATTATACTTTGTTTTACATAATTTCACATGTAAAACAAAGTATAATATTTTTCTCAATAAATCCACATTACAACCAAAAACGTTTGCGGCACCCCTCTTCTTTTTTATATATATATATATATATATATATATATATATATATTATACACCTGTCTCGTGCATTTCGTTTGACTGAAACAATGAAATGAATAAATTCTTTATTAGTTTTTCGACTGTTTGATTTTAAATCTTTCACAGTTAATTTCTATTTCCACCCTCCTCTTTCACTGTATAAACACGAATTCAGTCCACACCGGGGTTGATTAAGACAGACGACCGATATCTTCGTCTGCCGAAATAAACTATTCCCCATATGAGGTAATTTTGGATTTTATTGTTTCTTTTATATTATTAAAAGTAAAAAATGTTCGTAAAAGGAGTCACTGCTAGCCAAATACACATAATAAAATATATATTAAAGCATACATATTAAAATTACATATATACAATTTTTATATACCCGTTATTATAGCATTAATAAAGTTCTGTAACCACCGTAGACTGTTGAGAGATGTGTATGTTTGATTTGAACAGATAATCAAGCAAGAAGCTAAAACATTTATGAAGTAAAATGAATAGTTTTTTTGTTGTTGCTTTTAGAGAAAGAAAACTGAAGGTAATTGACGTGTGTTTAGAATCTGAAGAAAGCAAAGGCTAATGTGTAAAAAGAGCGGAGAGATAACGAAAAAAAGATTTTACGTCGACCTTGTGTTTCAGCCCACCATGCTGAATCAATTTGCATAGCACAAAAATTCTTGGAAATTTTCCCAAATGAAAAACAAACAATTCCAAACTTTATAGAAAGTCAACTTCTTGGACTCCAACCAAATGTTCTTTATGACATGCAAGCGGACATGTGCCACCCCGCACGTACTCTCACTCCCTCTCTCCCTCAAACACACACACACAGACATACATACACATATATATATATATATATAATTTGGTGGTGGGTTGTAAAGGTTCTAACCTCAACCAAGAAAAAAAAAGGAAAATAAATCCTAATGTCTAAGCATTTCGTCGGAATTTGCGAATTGGTTTTGTCTAACGATTGTTTCTGTCTCAGTCTCTTCGCAACTCTCTCATAGTGATTTTTCCAAGCGCAGCTTAGATGTGGCACAAGGCCGGAAGTAGCAGGCACCAAGTGAGGATCGAACTCACTACTTAGTCGTAATCGTTTTACACCGCCTCGATGTCCCCTCACAGCTCTCTCTCATATATATTTCAAATATACAAATCAATCATTCGCACTTGCATGAAGTATTGCTGCCATATATGGTCTGGGGCACCTTCTGTTTACCTCGGAGTTCTTGACAAGATCCAGAGACGGATATGTAATATAATTGGCCCTGATCTGGCGTCTCGTCTACAGTCACTCTCTCACAAACGCGCCGTCGCCTCTCTCTATCTTTTCTACAAATACTTTCATGGTAATTGCTCCGATGAGCTGCTTTCACTGGTTCCCAGACTCCATGAATTCAAGCGCCCTACGAGGCTGGCATCCCGCTCCCACCCTTATACTGTAGAAACTTTTAAATGTAGCTGTCTCTTCTACTCCAATAGCTTCATACCTCGCACCTCTCGCCTGTGGAACACCCTTCCCAATTACTGTTTCCCTGAGAGCTATAATCTCCAACTATTCAAATGTAATGTCAATCGACATCTCCAGTTACCTTGATCTACCCACTATCCCTCTCCTCATCCTTTCTTCTATCACTCCTATCTGCTCTTGCTCCAAATCCTCTGCAACCCACTGCATCCTAGTGGCTTCCCGCCTTGCTCAGGGCGTAATGCTTA